ATTAATGGGATTGGTATATATACTGGACCTAGTGGGGATACATACAAGGGGCAATGGGCTATGAACTTTAAACATGGTCATGGCATGAGGTTTTTTCCGAACGGAGACTGGTACGACGGCGAATGGCATCGAGGTTTGCAAGAAGGACTCGGCAAATACCAATGGCAAAACGATAGCCATTACATAGGAGAGTGGAAGAATGGTTTGATTTGTGGCAATGGCACCTTTGTGTGGGGCAATGGGAACAAATATGATGGACATTGGGAAGAGGGTTTGCCGAAGGGAAATGGGACTTATTATTGGCCTGATGGGAGTTATTACGTGGGGAATTGGAGTAATGATCCTGAAGAACACAATGGGACGTATTATCCTTCGGAGTCATCCCCGGCTGCAACTACTGACTGGGATCCTCAGTCGGTATATGCCGAGTTGGCTGATTGTAAGATTTGCCCCAGGGAGAATGTTTCGATTATGCCGTCCCAGAAAGTGTTGGCATGGTACACGGCGAATACAGATGACAATTTGAGGCAGTTGCCGGTCGATGGAAAGGGAAGCGTCGGGATGGAAAGGCCGGATAAAATGCACATGTGGGAGAGTGATGATGATAGTAACGATTGTCTGGAACCGAGGCGAGAATCAGATTCTGATATCTCATGTATTCAACATCAACATGATGATACAAATCCTAAGTTTAACCCTGATCTGCCACTGAAATTGCCCAAAATTGGGAAAAAACCAGGAGAAACTATATCTAAAGGGCACAAGAACTATGAACTTATGCTCAATCTACAACTGGGAATCAGGTTCCGTTCTCTATATTTTTTGTATTTTTTTTATATTTTTAACTTGTCCTTTTTTTATCATCAATTAACTTTCTAACAACTTAAATATCAAATTGTACATGATAGGACTAGAATCTTATTCATATTCAATTAGGAAAACTAGTTTTGATAATTACATTTAGTTTTCCTTGACTCCAATTAGTTTTATAGGATATGCCTAAAATAGACTTAAAATTTAAGGGAACCTCTATTAGCTAGGTGAAAACACATGGTTTGGCATGTGATTCGAACTCGACACAACTCTTTTTGGCCGGGCTTTTTTTTAAATATTTGAGTTTAGATCAACTTGAATTTAAGTTTATGGTGAAAAGTGTTTGACATGATCCGAAAAATAATATAATTATATATTTAAGGATCATTGCAATAATATCACTCCTTATATGAATTTATTTCAAGTAGACTCCTATTTTATTAAATAAAATTAAGAATTTTATATTTATATTCAGGTTAGATTTTCGATCAAGTAAAATGACCCTAAACCCAAAACGAATTAAAATCAGATAAAAGGTATATTTTTATCAGGTTGGCCGAAAGTCCAACCCAACTCGATTCATGTCCATCCTATGAAAACTTGTCAGCAAGAGTAGTGTAATGTGATTAGAGTTCTCATCTATACGGTTGATCCCATTTTTTATACTTTATTTTTTCAGTTAAACACCTATATTAGTAATGAATTATTCTTTATATTTCTTAAAGATGTCATCCAATAAAATGGTGTTATAAAAGTGACATCAATGATTAAATAAAGTGTTGTTGTCTTTAGATATATTGAATTTGAGTAGTTATATATGTAGAGTGTTTGTGCATTGTCAATGATTAAGAAAAATTATGAACAAATATCATCATGTAATCATCCGGCTATTAAAAAAATTAAAAATAAAATTAGTGTTGTACAAGTATAATCTTCCTATTTATTCTTTGTGGTGAAGGAAATATTAAGTTCATATGTGAATAAAATGTTACTAGTTCTAAATAAATCTAAATTATAAACACACGTGAAGAATATCCTTATTCTTCCAATGCAATAATCATACATGAAATCACTCTATGCTTTATTATCAACTTTGTTTTCTTTCTAAAATTGCATAAAATCTCTATGGTAATTATATGCTTTATGAGAGATTAAACAGGCATTCTGTGGGAAGGCCTGCTCCAGCGACATCTCTTGATCTAAAGGCAGCAGCATTTGACCCCAAGGAGAAATTTTGGACTAGGTTTCCTACAGAAGGCAGCAAGTACACTCCTCCACATCAATCTTGTGAATTTAAATGGAAGGATTATTGTCCAGTAGTTTTTAGGTAAGGCATATATTATATGTTCATTCATTTGCTATTATTTTTTTTTGGTAAAGTATACAAATGGTCTCAATTACAGTATGTTATTTTGTTGAGTACCCTAACTATTAAAAGTTACAAAATGGTCCTCTGATTATAGCGTATTGTTTTGTTGAGTCACTAGACAATTAAAAGTTGCAAAATGCTCACCGACTATTCATATGTTCCAAACCCGTCATTTTTCATTAAAAAAATTACGGTCGTCTAAGCTGGATGTTAACATGCTAACTGAGATGTGATAAAAGTTGGTCTTAGAACTGTTTGAGTTGTATAGTCATTTAAGATTCTAGTATCAGATTTTATCACATCCAGCCAACATGTTAACTTCTAGCTTAGAGGACCTTTAATATTTTAATAGAAAAAGATGAGTTTGAAACATATAAATAGTCAAGTCATTATTTTGTAATTTTTAATAGTCGGAGACTCAACAAAGCAATGACATATAATCAGGTAATCATTTTGTAACTTTTAATAATCGGTGAACATAACAAAGCAACATCCTATAATTAGAGAGCATACTTTACCCTATTGGTTTCATGCTTACATGGTTTGGTAGTAACTTTAAATCATGATATGTATAAAGGGCTTTGAGGAAGTTGTTCAAGGTAGACCCTGCAGATTACATGATATCAATATGTGGGAATGGTGCACTTAGAGAACTATCTTCCCCTGGTAAAAGTGGTAGCTTTTTTTACTTGACGGAGGATGATCGATACATGATAAAGACAATGAAGAAGTCAGAAGTGAAAGTAAGTTTTGTAATTCCACACCCATTAAATATAGTTTCATGATCTTTTAAATTAGACGAGACGGATTGCGAATCATCCGAGTTCGATTCAATCAAAGCTCGATTAAAATTCGAATCAAATGGATTCGAATTGAGTTTTTAATGAGCCGAAGCGAGCTATTTGCTACTTACCTCAAGTTTTTAACAAGCCGAAGCGAGTTATTTAATAGTCAACTCAAAAAATAATATATTATTTTTTATTTTAAAATTAAACTATTAATAATATTAACATTTATATGTTATTTTAAAAAATAAATTTCATGTACTTAAGGTTCAAGTTCGAGTTCGTGTTCGAGCTTGAACCGATCTTGAATTTGAGCTTAAATCAGGAAAAGTCTAAGAATGTTTTTAGTTCAAGTTGTTTTTGAGCTCGAGTCGAACTTTAATTTTTTATTTCGTGTCTAACTTTACAATTTTAAGCTCACGAACTTTCAAGTTGAGTCGAGCTTCAATTTTTTATTTCTAGTACAAATCGAGTTTGACAGTTTTAAACTTGTGAGCTTTCGAGTCGAGTTCAGCAATATTCAAACTCGACTCGGTTCGTTTACAATCCTAGTTTCAGAGTAATGTTGATTATTGCAAGCTCCATCATGTTACTAACTACTCTTGATTTCTTCTATAGGTGTTTATAAGGATGCTTTTTGCATATTATAACCATGTTCGAAACTTTGAGAACACACTGGTGATTAAATATTATGGCTTGCATTGCGTGAAGTTAACAGGGCCCATTCAAAGAAAGGTCAGTGAATATCATTTCATACAATCCAATTTATGTTGAGTGTTTTAAAGGATGAAATTGATAAATTCAGGTACGATTCATTATTATGGGAAACCTTTTACGCTCCGAGTTTACAATTCATAGACGCTTTGATTTGAAAGGATCTTCTCTCGGACGCATAACAGATAAGCCTGAGTCTGAGATCGACACCACTGCCATTCTTAAGGACCTTGATTTGAATTTCATATTCAAACTCGAAAAAACTTGGTTTGACGAGTTTTGCTGGTAAAAGGCACTTCTTTTTGTTTTCTATTTTAATTTTTTTATAAACTAGACGTTTAATACTTCAAATATCATTCTTGTTCTGTTGTTTTTACTCAACAATGTATGACTTTTAATGAAGCAAAATGGTCATACAAGATTACATTATGTCTTATTATAAAAAACCTTCTAATTAGAAAAGAAAGAAAGCACATAATAATGATCAAGGTTACAGAAGAGACACATATATAAACATATTCTCACAATACATACATCCTTTGAGATCCACCTCTCCAATTATTCAAAATGCAACAATCATCCAATTTTTATTCTATTTTGATCATCAAATTATTTTTTTGTTTCAAAATCATACCTTATGTTACGTTTTGGTTTTATTTTTTCATTCACAGTTAAAAATTAACGGTGATGTTGATGTGTCATCATAAGGTAATGTCACATCATCTTTGATTTTTTTTTAAATGCAATAATTCTGTTAATTTTCTAAAAACGTGTGACCAAAATGAAACCAAAACGTAACGTTATGTATGGTCTTTTTAAAAAATAACAGTTGAGCGATCAAAATACAACAAAAGTGATAGTTAGAGTACTAAATGTATAGTTTACCCTAATGTTTTCTACTAGCTTCACCCTAAAGCAATAATATTATATAGCACCTAATTCTGGTTATGATTTTTGTTAATACATCATGTTCCATGAATCAAAAACTAGTTTGTCATTGGCTTTAATCATTTTTCATCAACTGCATTGAATATTTCTATGTTTTTTACTAACAGGCAAATAGATAGGGATTGTGAGTTTCTAGAAACGGAGAGGACCATGGACTACAGTCTTCTGGTGGGCATTCACTTCAAAGAAATAACATCGAACGGAGAAATAATTCCTTGCGGAAGCCAACCTTCATCTGGTTATCTTTTATTTTTCTTGACGTTTCCTTTTTCATTTCATAAGGTTAATTAAGTGCAAGCTTCTCCACTCCAAGTTTTTTCTTTCGATTCACAAGTTCCATTGTTTACCATTGCAGGAAATAATGCGATTGAATCAACTTCACCCGATACGGAGGAGAATATGCTAGACACTAAGAGGTAAATAGTCTCGTCTCTCTATATTTATTCTAGGTTTTCTGTCTCACTCATGATATAGATAAGCTCATGTATAATCATGATCTATTTCATAATACAATGCCTAAATTGTCTAATCTTATACTTAAGTAGAACCCATCAACTAGTCTTAGTGGTTAAAGGGAGTGTTGTTCTCTCGAGAGATAATGGGTTCAAACAATTGCATTTACGAGTGTGTCTCCATTGTCGATGACTATGAAAGATTATGAACAAATACTATCTTATAATCACCCTCGATTATTAGAAAAAAATTGACACTTAAGCACGTTTGAACCTATATCTTCCTATATGTTATAACAATAATGGTGTAAACCTAATCGAAACCTAGTCGCAATGTACAATCACAATTTTTTCAATAGTTTGGGTTGATTACAAATGTAATATTTGTTTATAATCTCTCTTAGTCATTGACAACACACCCTGCAGACATAACTGCTTGAACTCGAAACCTCTAGGGAGAACAATATTCTCTTTAACCTAAGATGACTTGATGGATTCTTTTCACATCAAATTTCTTCATAGCCAATTTAGTTAAACTAAATAAATTATCTATTAGCATGCACATGATTATTAGCAAGCAAAAGGTTCCCCTAAGATGGAAAGGAGTGTATTAAGAACCAAATGAGCGCAGTATTGCAGGTGGGCAGGGATGAACAAGGGGTGAATTCGTTTCCAAAATTTTTTAAATTTTTATATATTTTAGATTTTTTTATAAATTTATTTCTCTTTAAAATTTTATAAATTTGTCCCTAACATGAGATCTTACGTCTGTTCATGCAGCTGGGGTGGCATCAAGTTGGGTACAAACATGCCAGCAAGAGTAGAAAGAACTATAAGAAAACCCGAGTCTGTATTTCAGTTGGTAGGAGAACAAACGGGGGAATGCTACGAGGTGATAATGTTCTTTGGAATCATTGACATACTTCAAGATTATGACATTACCAAGAGGCTCGAGCATGCATATAAATCCATTCAATACGACCCAACTTCCATATCGGCTGTGGATCCAAAGCAGTACTCTAAGCGATTCCGTGATTTCATATTTAAAGTCTTTTGTGAAGATATTTGAAACAAGTTTTTGTCTTTGATGAGGGTCCAGGAGTGTGTAGATGGAGCTAGATTTAATATTTTTTATGGGATATGCCCCAATTATATCATTTTTTGTTGTAGCCATTGTTATCAATACTTGTAAATAAATTTAGAACCAATTAATGGTGTTTGAATTATTTGTCCACCCTTCATTTATTCATTGGATTCAATTAAGAGAGTGTCACGCATTTACATGAACATGTAGAATACTATTAACAGAAAAGAGTGGTTAAAGTTTATTACAAGTCTTTGTATTATATTAAAATGTTCATTTTAATCCTTCTTTATAAAATGAGAATTGTGGTCGATGTACATTTGAAAAAGTTAATTTTTTTTGTTGAAGTTATTAAAGTCGTAGTTAGTTTATTTGAATATTTTGGTTTAATCACTCTTTATATTATTGTCACTTTTTAAATGGAACAAACTAACATCTCGAAAAATCATCTATGTCCATTTCGATGGTGTGTAAATAAGAACGAAATATGATAGAGTTGACATTATTCATTAATAAATGTTTAAATATGACTGGATTCTTTTTCAAAAAATTGGAAATTATATATATTTAATATTTTAAATATGTTGAAAACAATAATAAATATATATTTTTTAAAATTTTAATAAAAATTTTCAGTTAGAATTTTATTCTCTTTAAATCTAGAAATTCTAATTAAATTCTTGTTTTTATTATTATTTATTATTTTATTTGTTTTTAATAAATTTTACATAAAATTAATTAGATATATATAGAATTAGTCAAGGATTCATAATTTTGTTTTCTGTTTTTTGACTTTTATGTGTCTTGGCAACATTGCAAATTAATTTGGTGTCTCAACTTTTGCATTTTTTATAGGTTGGAATTGGTTTCCGTTATGTACTTATCGATCCTTCGTACAAAGAGATCGATCTTTTTCAACACAGTAGCCAAAAGGATCGGTCCAATTTTTCTAGGGATCAATCTTTTCTATAGGTTCATGCAAAATTAGACCACTAATTCAACTCCTAATTGTTTCTAATATTAAATATCATACATAAATAGGGATGAGAATTTAACTTGAAATCGATGGACTTTGACCCGATCCAATCTAATAGGGTAGGATTTTTATAAAATATTCAGATTTGGATCAGGTCGGGTCAGATTTTATATGTCACACCCTGAATTTTTCGATCTAATATTAATAATTTTAATTAATATATTCGAGGGACCAAATTTCTAGATTTTGGAAATCCTAAGTTATTTCGTCAGCTTCCATTTAGTTCAAGGACTTGAACCAGAATTCTCCCATCACCCTTTGACTAATAAAAAAAATAAAATTTACGCTTCATAGGATTTAAACCTACATTCTTTAGAAGCTTTAGCCTATGATATTGCCATTTATATAGGACACTATAGATGATAAGAAATATTAAAAATATCTTTTTACCTAATATAAATCATTTTTATAACCTAAGTCCACTCTATTCGTTCCAAAAAAATAATCCCCACGAAAAGCCTTTTCCCAAAACCTTTCAAATCGTTGCACCACCGTCAACCACCTTGCTCCGGCCGACCATGGAGTGCACTGTCGCGACCAACGGAATCATCGTCGCCTAATGCTCAAATCCCGACCACCGATTACCTTTGTTCATCCACCGATCGTCGTAAATTTGGGATAAAAATTGTTCATCTCAACACCATAGATCTCGGCCACCTTTTATTGGTAGGTGCCACCACCCGTATCATGAGACACATCGTTCCAATTCAATCAAATCCTAGTCAACCTCTTATCACGATCCACCGTTGTTCGCCATGGAGAACAACTAGAAGCTTCGCTGGAAAACCTTTCCTTGTAGTTGTTTTCGTCGTTTTCGAGAACTTCAACATCTATTCACCAAACCATATTCACCATCGAGATCATCATTTTGTTTTGAACAAAAACTTATTGGGTTGTCGCCTCATCTTCGCTCTGTCGCCATTAGGTAAGCATTCTGATTCTTTTTCCGTTCATATCTTTTTGGTTTTAGCATGATCTCGAGTTTATTTTTGGTGATTGTTGTATCTGGTGTAATCAAATGGTCATTACCCCTTGTTCACAATTGCACATGTCACCACGCATCGTCCCTACGTGTGGGGCTTCTCCTCCAACCAAGGCTTTTTTAGAAATAGTCTAGTGTGAATAGACCAAGTCAAATCGATCTGAATTGGGTTAGCCTAAACCGACTGAACTAATCGAACTGATAGAATTGAATCATTGACTTGATTGTTGACATGACCTATTGACTTTGACTTTGACTTTTACCATTGTTGACCATTAACTTTGACTAAAAAGTTACCTTTTTTCTCTAAAAGTTATATATTATGTTTTTTGAAATTCTGAGTTCGAATTTGAAGTTTGTTTAGCCAAATTCTAACTTGAAAGCCTCCAAATCGAGCCTTGAACCCGAGCATGCATATTTATTTAAATAGTTTATTTGAACGTATTTGAAGTTGGACTGAGAACTGACTTATGATGTTATTTAATTAATGTACTTGTGAACCTCTAGATCTGGTCGTTCACGTGAGCCCGTGATTACCCGTATGGTTTGGTAAACCTTTTTAATATTTTGTTTGGAATATCACTCATGTAGTGTCACACCCTAATTTAATTTGGGTTTCTAATTTGATATTAATTAATTAATTTTAGGGACTAATTCATAAGATTTCAAGGATTTTATGATAGCCTTTGAAATTCTTGAAATTTCAGGGACCTAACCATGAATTATACCATCTCACCTTTGTAGAGAAAAAAATGGATTAGGTGAGGCTTGCAAGCCTTGAAATTGTAACCTAGGGTATGGTCAACCATGCCCTACCAACTGAGCTAGGTCACTATTAGTGTTTATTTTATTAAAAATAAATGTTATAGTTATTTAGTTGGGATTTTAAATCCTCAAATCTTCCCCCATTTCAATTTTAATAAAATCCCAAAAATCCCCAAATTATCAAACCCTTCCCTGATCTTGTTCACCACCGATTATCATCACCCCAGCTGTTGTGACGTGCTTTATCCCTACCAATGTGTTCACCATCTAGTCACAACCAAATTCCGACCACCCTCTTTCCGAGTAGGCATGTCGTTCACTGTGAATCAACGATCGAAGCTTCGTCGGGGCCGAAGCAAGTTGTCGTGATGTTTTGTGATTTCTTGTCGTTTCTACCACTGTCGTACCACACCTCCCTCGTCATTGAGTTCCCCACCCAATTTCGACCAAAACCCAACCACCATCGTCGCCTCACTATTGCATTTGCTCCATACACCATTGGTAAACTCTGATTTCTATTTCTGTTCAAATTATTTCGTGTTTTGATGATTTTTGATGATGTTTTGAATTGTTTTTGGTAAGAAAATGGATCAAGAGTAATCAACCATCTGAACCGAACCTGTTGTCACCGCTTGAATCGCCACGCACTGCCTTCACGTGTGTGCTTCATATTTCTGACGAATCTTTTAGAACCGAACTCAATTAATTCAAACCAAATTGAGTAAACTTGAACCGGTTTGGATCGCTGACCTGACTGTTAACTTTGACCATGGGTTGACTTTTACCAGAGTTTACTTTGACTAGGGTTGACTTTGACCAAAGAGTCAAATTTTTAAAAAAATCATATTTTATATTTCTAGATGTATTGAGTCTGAATTCGAAGTTTGTTTCTCCAAATTCAAACTCGATAAGCAATTTTTCAGTATTTTATCTTCTGATTCGATTTGTTTTCCCTATTAAGTTATGTTTCTAATGTAATTCATTTTGTTTTGTATAAGATATTATGGGACGTTGAATTCACTTTCGAGAGCGATCTAATAGACTTTAAATGGTTGACCGATATTGCTAAAAATTGAGGTAATACATTACTACCTTTTTTACATTCTTTATGGTACATGAAAGGTAATTTGTCGATGCATAAATAAATATGTTGGGGGAGTAATAAATATTAAGTATTCTAAACCCATATTGATTTCGGTAAAATGATGATAAATCGATTAAGACCAAAATGATTGCTATAAAATTTTAGAAGATCGGTATAAAACCTAGCCTCTGTGATTGTTTAATTAAGTAGTTAATCTCGAAACATTCATTTTCGAGTAGTGCTCGTTAAGGATTTTAATGCTGAAATTATTGGAAATGAAATGACAAAAATGTCTGTAACCCCCTAGACCCAGCCTTGGTGTTTCTACCAAAACTTGGCGGTCTAATGTCGTATACTAAATTCCTTTGTAGATTTAAAACGTAATCAAAATCCATTTCATTAAATAAAAACCCATATAACGGTATGATACAAAAATAACCATAAGAAATGTTCATACAGTAAACATATAGAGTTACCAAAGTTGGAAAACAAAATATCAATAATACAAGTATGTCAAGATAGTAGTACAACATGTGTCACTAAAATATAACAAAAAGGGGCATATAAAGATATATAGTGATGGAAAAAAGGGAGAATGGTCAATCCTCTTGATGCCAAGTCTGCTAACCTACTGTTGGACAGTATTTGAAAAGTTAAAATTTAAGAAGTGAGGTAAAAAGCTTAGTGTGCTACTTACGGTGTATAATAATGTTCAGATAAATATTTTAGTAAAAGTTAATTTATAAATCATGCTTTTAAAATATGAACACTACCCACATCTGAACACCAAAATCTGTAGGTTCCCCCGAATTGTACAGCCACATGTACACTTGATAAGGACCTTATACTGATAGCATAGGGACCTACGGTAAGGACGTACCTTATGCACAAAGCAGAGGAGCCTATGATAAGATTTTACAAGTCATAGACTAAGCCTAAGATATCATACCCCTAATTACATTAAATATGCATATGTTTGAATGGAAATGGTAATTTAGTACTTTAAAACATGAAAACATGACATATTCAAGAATCAGGTACAGAAATACAGTAACCAAAGATCATGTAAAAAACATACAGTAAATCAGATGCTAGAATTTTCATGCATGTGGTAAAACAAATATCATGAAGTAAAATTTTTAAATATCATCAGAAATCAAGAACATATCAAATAAATAGTTCAAAATAGTATTGTAACACTATCCAGAACACACGTAAATCGGTATAAGAAGTTAGGTACAGTAGCCTA